GGCGGGGAGGGAGCGCACACTGCGGCCTTTCTACTTTATGCTCTCTTGTGTGCTTTGATGTTGCCAGGAGCATGAGCTGGGACATTCCACTCTCACCATGGCTTCAACTCAGGAAGCATCAAACATGGGAGGGGCCGCGACACCACCCCGCCATTAATGGGGACCAGTTCCAACTCTGCTCAGTCTGGGGAGGGTCAGTATTCCCTGGTCACTGAAACCCATGATCCTCTACCACTGGAAAGAAGAGGAGGGCGAGGCCAGGCCTCCTGGTAACTGGAACAATGGGCATGGTTCCACCCAGCTGCCAGATCCAGGTTCAGACAGGATGTGGGACGGTGGGTGCCACGGGCTGGGGAGGAGACAGACTGGTGTCTGGTGGAGACCGTGTCAGTCTGGGAGGACGGAACTGGATGGTGGGAACAGCAGCAGGACCCTTGACGGGCTTCAAGCCACCGACCTGCACCTCAAAAAACGGCTGAAGTGGTAAATTTTATGTTACATGTACTTTTCCACATTGAGATAACAGAGGGGAGAAAGCGGTGGCCCTGAGTGAGCTGGAGGCTGCCACAGAGAGCAGAAAGGATGCCCTAGACCTGCTGAGATGGAACTGTCCTCGCTCCAGCTGCCATGAGGAAAGAGCATAGATTAAGGTGGACTGTCCTAGGCATTCAGCTCAGGAGCAGACCTGAGGCAAGACTTCAGTCTCCTTCCAGCACCTTCCCTTGCAGTGCCCTCAGAGGGGACAGTCACGGCTGCCTGTGTGCTGGGACTCTCTGCTTAGATCTTTTTTGGGGGAGAGGTCTGGCAGCCCCATCCTGCAGGGCAAAGAGTGAGAGATGCTTGCGGAGGGCTGTCCGGCACTCAGTGCCACCCCTCCGTTGACAAGATGCAGTCTCTCCCAACTTTGCGAGTTTTGATGGTGCGCTTGAAGCTTCTGGAGGGAATTAGCTAGACTCTGAGCTGAGCTGCCAGGGGCGTGTCAACCTGTCACAGTGGACAGGCTGACTGGGGGTGTCTGGCACTGCCGATCACCCTGCCCCAGCCGACGGAGAGGAGTCCCTGGAGCAGCAGGAGCACCTTGGCAGACTGGCTTCAGTCAGACTGTGGGGCAGGATGGGGGTGAACGAGCACGCTGGCCCCCAGTCACCTGTGTGGCATTGGCCTAGCTAGAATCCCGCTCGGTTCTCTATTCTTCAGGGTCCCTCCTGTCCCTGTGTCTTCTCTCCATCTCCCTCTCCTCCCTGACTCTCTCTGATCTCAGTCTCTGCAGTCCCGCCGCCCACACCCCTTCAGCCCACTCCCTTATCTGGGTCCCGCACAATCCAGGGAGCCCATCCCCATGACAACAGGGCAGATGGCCCTGCGATAGTGGTTCTCCCTCCCGCCATGGCTCAATCCGTCTTTGAAATTAAATCAGCTGTGATAACATCAAGGGCCAGAGGGAGGGGAGGCTGCCTGTGCCCCACCCGCCCCGCCTGCTCAGGAGAGGGGGACGGGGCAGACCAGCCCACCGTGTGGCCAGATGCCCTTGGCCAGGTCTCTTGCCCTTGCAGCCTCAGTCTCCCCATCTATGAAACAGGCAGATCGTATTTATTGCTCGGGTCAGTGGGGAAGGATGGGAGCAAGGGGCAGGCCTGACGCCCTTCAGCCCACAGGGACCTTAGTCCTCTGAAAGCCTAGGTTAGCCAGGCCTTGGGACACAGAGAGACCAAGCTGCCCAGAACAGAGGTTGTAGGCCACTCTACCTCATTGCCTAGGCCATGGTATCCTCTGTGAGGCCTACCCTGCAATACCAACCCTCTTACACATTCTCCCCAGCAGTGTCAGGCTTTTTTTGGACAATCAGGGCCCCTGCAGGACATGGCAGTTTGGGAGTACAGAGAAGAGAAAGCAGCTGTCCAGCTTGAAAGGGCCTTGAACAGAAATGCTGGCTGGGTGACTTGGGATTGAGAGTGCCAACAGGGCACACTCTACAGAAGCTGGGGGTGGGGGAGGAGACAGAGCACTGAGGGGAGCAGCTAGGCGCCCGGGGAGAAAACAGGCTGTGATGCTGGGGACAGCCTGTGCAAACGTCCTGAGGTAGGGCTGTGCTGGTGCCAAAAAGGACAATGAAGGGGACTGCAAGGCTGGAGCACAGCAAGGCGGGGACGCCAGAGGTTACCGGGCAGGTGACACATGGCCTCACAGGCTACAGCCAGGACGGTCGGTGGCTTACCAGTCTGAGCACCTCCCAATGCCCTTGATTTTTACTTTTAGGTTTATACAAACTTCTCTGGCTCTGGGGTGAGAATAAACAAACAGAGTCAGAGGAAAGGGTGGATGTCCAAGTAGATACGAGGGTAGCAGCAGGGTGTGTGTGTACACTGCCCCCAGACCCTGCGGTACCACAGGGCAGGGCAAGCATGGACTGTGGCTTGACAGTCTCCTCATGAGTCCCTTTCAGAGATGTAAGACACGGTGGGGCACAGGCAAGCTGGGCCCCTCTCTAGGAGACATTTGTCCTGGGCAGAATGTCCTGCCCAGAGAGGCTTGTTGAAACCAGCCGGGAGACGGCAGGGAGTGGGCTGTTTGGGAGGAACTGAGTGAACTGGAAGGAGCCTAGCAGGTCTTGCTTCCCACACAGGGGCACCATGAGATGGACCTCACCAAAGAACCAAAATGCATGCTGCCCATGGCTCCCAGAGAGTGCGGCCTGGCAGAGGACAGGCTGATGCCAAGCAATACTATGGGGAGAACGAAGGACCCCGAAACAGCTTAAGATCCTGGCTTTCTCCCCCGAGAGCATCCCTCTACCCTGTGGTATCCCAGGCCCACAGCCCTCAGGCCTCAGGTCTTCCATCTGCAAAATGGGCAAAGATGCTGATCTAGGACCCAGGGTTGAGGACCTGAGGCAGCCCTTAGGGAGAGTTGGGAATGCCGTACTTTGTCTGTGTTGGAGAAAGAGAGGACACAGGGTTGAGACTCAGGAAGGGGGCAGCTAGTGATTCCTGGCACCCAAATTCTTGGGTCACTGGAATCCTTGGGTCTGCCAAGCACCCAGATTTCCTCTGGTCACCTAACTGGAGTGTGTGGCTGTTCGGAGATGCTGGGCTTGTAATTGGATTTGCCCAGCAGCTGTCTGCCCTAAGCAGGCCCACTTGAGGCAGCCGTAGCTGATCAGTGATCAGGGACATTAGCAGGTCAACGGGGGCAGAGGTCAGGTGGTTAGTGCCATGGGGACTTTGATAAAGTTAGTCCCCAAGCAAGGCTGGGAGCTTGGGCTCTGCCTTCTGTGTGTCCCTGCTCCCTTGCCCTAACCAGTAACGTGGTTAGCTGCCTGCAGCTGCCGGCTGGCTGAGGACCTCTGAGGCATATTCCAGGGAGCCGGAGCCCGGGCCAGGCCCCAGGGTCAATAACTTCTGGCCATCACACTTGCAGCACTTGCCTGGCCCTGGGGATCTCGGGATGATACCTGGCTTCCTAGAATGGGAAGAAGGTCCCTGGGCCCACCTCTCAGTGGCCTGCACCCCTACCCAAGTTGTCTTCTTCCTAGTAGTGTGGAGAAGTGGGACATGTTCTGTCTCCTGTCACTTCTTATCCACGAGCACCAGAACATCCTTTGGGCCTGCTCTCCCCCTGGGACTTTGTATTTCATCTTCTCTCCATGGACTGGACCCCTTCTGGTGCTGGAGTTTACATTATCTGCTCAGCTCATCATCCACTCGGCACATAGGACCTGTCTCCTACCTGGGGGCCACACCTCTGCCACTTAGCCAGTGTGAACCCTGAAACATGGAGCCCTTAGTGATTGCTGCAGCCCCCAGGACGCAGGCACTGGCCAGTGCACGCCTGCCTTTGCCCTCACCGCAGCAATAATCACGACGGACACCATTTAAAGGCAAGTCTCTTCCCGCTCGCACCCGGGATGGAACGCTGGCTCAGTAGCCTGTCCGTTGTGTAACCCTTCCCTCCACCTCAGTTTCCTCTTGCATAACGTGGAGTCAGGGACCCTGATAGGGGGCAACTGGGGACATCCCATGAAGTTGCTTCTATTTACTTCATGTGTCTCTTCCTGTTCTTCCAACAGGGCAGCCTGCTCCTGCCCCAGGCCGTGGTCACCTGATCTTCCCACCCCCGGGGAATGTTCACTTGAGCAGTCAGCATCTCATAAGATCTTTCCAGGTGACTTGGCTCAGAATCCCCCCCTGCCCATCTCTCATCTTGTGACACTGCTGTCCCCACCCCACCCAATGGTTCCCAGGACCAAACATGAGCATAATCACGGTGGGGACAGGGCTACACCTGCTGCCCATGCAAGGGCCCTCAAGTATTTGCAGAGAGAAGCATGATGGGGGGGGGGGTCACAGGAGAAGGGTGGGGTGCAGAGGCCAGGGAGGTAGCTGGGGTGAGAGGGAGGTTAGCTGAGGTTAGGCCACAGGGCTTCATGGTGGAGATGAGGCCGGAGGACTTTATGATCAGAGCAGCAGGAGCCAGGAAGGTGGAGAGCAGGGCAGGAGAGAAAGATCTGAGAATCTGGGTCTAAGATGGCTGCTACTCAGTAAATGAGTAAGGAAAAGTGGGGAGTGAGCCTGTGAGGATGGCAGTCATCCTGGAAAAGGGACATGGGACACGCAGGTAAGGTAGGACATGAAGGTGACAGAACGGGGCAAATGACAGGGATTAATAGTCACCCAAAGACCCGGTCCTGGGCTTCCTTGCTGTGAGAAATGGCTGGTGCTGGGCTTGGAGGCCACACGCTCCTGAGTGCGCCTGTGGAGTTGTGGCAGCCGCCCAGTGGGCCTGCAGCGACCAGCCCACCCCTAAGGATGGGAGCCGAGAGAATTCATCTTGGTGTGCACTCACTTGGCAGGTTTATTAACCACTATCTTGCCCCTGAGGATGACGGTGTCTGAGCCAGGGCCAGGCTGGGTGGCGGCCGCTTGCTGTCCACTGGCTGGGTGGCGGTCACTTGCTGTCCACCCGCATGAGCTTCTCCTTGCCATTGACAGTTACAGAACGGAGCTTCCCGTCCTCCTCCACCTCCACACGCTCTTGGCCATTCTCAATAATGCGCTTGGTGGTCACCTTTCGGCCATTCACTATCTCAGTGGATGACATCACTGACTTGAACCCTGAGCTGCCCGAACCGGAGCCACCAAACGAAGTGGATGAAAAGGTGGCCCGGCTGGCGCCCCCGTGGCCCAGGGAGTTGAAGGACGAGAAGGCCTCCATGAATGCTGGGAACTCACCGAAGCCCGAAGAGAAGGTCCCACGTAAACCATGGGACCTGCTGCGGTCATTGAAGGGGGTGTCCCAGAAATCGAAGGAGAAAGGGTCCAGACCCCCAAAGAACTCGCGGAAGATGTCCTCAGGATTGCGGAAGGCATAGCCAGCACCGAAGGGACTGCTATGGGGGACACTGGCACCGCCGGCTTTCCAGCCATCACAGCCCGCCCGGTCGTACAAAGAACGCTTCTTAGAGTCGGACAAGACCTCATAAGCCTCAGAAACCTGCTTGAACTTCTTCTCGGCCTCTTCCTTGTTGTCAGGATTCTTGTCAGGGTGCCAACGCAAAGCTAGCTTTCGATAGGCCTTCTTAATGTCCTCGGGGGAGGCGCTTGATTGTACACCCAGCACTTCATAGTAGTTGGCCATGGCAAGGGTTGGGAGGGGTAGGGAGGGGAATGGATGGGATGGAGGAGGGCTGAAGAGGGCTGAGGCTAGTGGCTGGGGTTCTCTCTTGGGGGGGGGGTTTGCTGGAATCTGTTGGGTCTGGGTGGCGAGAGTCTAGCTTTCCATCCTCCCGGTTCTCAGGGACAGGTGGAGCCTCCACTGAGAGGGGCGGGGGGTAGGGACAGTGCCGCTCGTGGGCCAGGCCCAGGTGGCCCCTTCCGATCTGGGGCCAGGGCCCTTTGTGACATAAGCACGGAGTAGGAGTTCCCCCACCCCCTCAGCCAAGCTCCACACATCACAGGGCTGTGGGTGAGGTGATCACTGTGAGGCCTGGAGGGTGAGTGTGGCTACTGGAAGCTGTTTGCTGGGCTCCCTGGGAGCCATAGAGGACAGGCAGGGTCTGCTGTGGGATTGGAGGGGTGACACCGAAGTGAGAGGAGAGCAAGGGTTCCCTGGCATCTGAGATGGGCTGAGGAGGCCTCAAGAAACTTGGGGTAGGTAGGGGCAGTGATGTCTTATATTTGTGCCCTGTTATCTCTGGATTTTCAGAGATGTCAGGGAGGCAGGCACGTTTGTCAGCAGCTGGGACAGAGCCGGGCCACAGCTCGAGACCAGCAAAGATTTGTTAAATGAGCAAAGCTTGGAAGCTGGGCCATTGGGCTGTGGGGGGACCAAGAAGAAGACTCACTCTGCTTAGCTCAGATATAAAAGGGACTAACACAAACCCCAGGTGACCGGCAGCCCCCAAAGGCATGCCTCCTTGTCACCCTGGAGACCAAGTGTGGTCTCATTCACTGGAAGACCTGGAGGACGCTTTTCCTCTTGAGGAGGCAGTGTGAAGGAGGGGACAGACCCTGAGGGACACAGCTCCAAGGAGAGCCTGCACCATGGGGACATGGCCCAACGGTATACTAATGGAGGAGAGATCTTCCAGTGTCACTGGCCCCCCTGGCACAGCAGCCCTGAAGGCTCCATGCTCTCCAGGGATGTGTTCCTTGACTCATGCTGTTCCGTTAGGTCCTGTTTGGAGTGCCAACGCTGACTTCCCCCTGCTCCGTTGTCCTTCCTCTCATTCTTTCCTCTCTTCTGGGCAATCAGTTTCAGACACCTTACAGGGGCCATAGCAGTTCTCTTGGAGCCCACAGGCCAGGAGGAATGACAGGGGACTCTGGAGACACACGGGTCACTGTCACCATCACTCACATTGGTCTCACTAAGAGCAGGACAGGCTCCATGCGCCACACCAGTCCTTACTTGTCACCCCAGGCTGCTGCCAGCGGCTTCATGTGAAGGCAGCTGCACCCCCTCCATTGTGGTAAGGATGCTAATACTCATGTTTGTGATGGAGATGATGGGAGGAGCAGGAGGTCATGATGGGACTGCTAGCAGTGACAGAGGCTGTGGGGATGGTAGCGGCGCTGTGCCACTCCTACGAAGGTGGCAAGGAATGGAAGCCATTTGTGGCTCAGCTTGCTAAGGTGCAGGGCCACGCCCAGGAATGACACATACTCAGTACGAGCCTTCCTCATCTGCTCCTACTGCAGGGCTGCTGGAGCTCAGCCTCCCAGACCTCATCAATGGGGCCCTGAAGAGAGGCACCAGAGATGCCAGGCTCCAGGGGTCGCCGCAATCTTCTGCTGGTATGTGGTGGACAGTTCTCACCCACCCCTCAGTGGAGGCTGGTGTCTGCTGGTGGCAAAGCTCATGCAAGCTTCAAGGAGAGACAGACTGCTGTATGAATGGAAGGAGGAAGCTCTAGGTGGCCACAGTGGGCGATAGGGGACAGTAAGCGGAAGTGAAGTTGGAGGTAGTGTCGGGATGGAGGATGAGAAGGTGATGGCAGAGGCGGCAGTAGTGATAGAGACAGTGGGGATGGTGGGGATGGAGGTGGTGGTGGTGAAGGTAGTGGCAACGGTGGCAATGATGAAGAAAATAATGATGGTCGCAGTCATGGTAATGATGGAGGTTATGATGATGGAAGGTAGGATGGTGAGTTTCAGTCAAAATGGTAGAGATGGTGGTGACGGTGAAGGTAGTGATCACGGGGGAAGGCAATGACACTGACACCATTAGAGGTGATGAGAACACACATGGTGACGATGTCGGAGGGTGGTCATGGCAACAGTGACACTGAGGAGGGAGAGACGGTGGTGGTAGTGTCAGAGGGCATCGCTGATGCTCGCTGGAACTGAGGAGAAGGAAGGCATGGCAGGGTGTTTATCATGATGCTGATATGCGGTAGGTGTTGGCGAAGTCCAGGGTCCCTGTCATCAGGGCAGTGGTGTGCTTACAGTGCTGAGTCCAAGGGATTCAGGGTGGTGTTGTGCCCTGAAATCCTATCATTCCCCCAGCCCTGACCAGACACCTCTCCATTCTTGGTGTCTCGTCTCCCAGGAGGAACCTTCTGGCCTTTGCTTCCTGGCCTTCCTCATCCAGAAGCAGTCTATCTACCCACGTGAGACGACATGGAAAGCCCATCCCTGTTCAGGCCCAGTGATCGCACAGGACAGAGAGCGCGTGCAATGACAGAGGGTCTCAACACTTCCAGGGCAGATCCCAGCCTCTCGGGGCCAAAGGGACATTGACAATGGAGGCCCCATAGGTGGGCCATGAAGGAAGACACAGAACTTAGAACTGGACAGCCACTTGGTGGCAGCATGCCGAGGTGACTTGCCCTTCTACAAAGCTAATGTCCTATGGGGTCCCAAAGCCTGAAGTGTTTGGGGGTCCAAGTGGGAGGAGCACCCGAGGAGCAGAGCTTGGTAAACAAGCACGAACATTAGCCAGGCCCTGTGCCCCTGATTCTACGGCTGTTAGTCTCTTCCCTTCTGGAAATCTCTGTCCTCATTCACTAGCGGGATGGTGAGATCCCTTCCTCCTCCTCCTCTTCCTCTCTGGGGAGTCAGCATCTGATGTCTCCAGTCCTTAGTCTGAGAAAGGACTCTGGGAAGCAAAAGGACCTCAGATAACTAGGTGATCTCAGCAGAGTCTAGCTCAGTACAGAAGCAGCCCAGAGAGGGTAGGACACAACCAAGGTCACACAGCAGCCCCAGAGAGCCTTCCCCAGGCACGCTGATGGAGGTTGATTAGGCAGCCAGAGGCCCCTCTGTCTCTCTAATTAATGGAGTGGCTTTTTAAAAGGATTCTAATCACCCCGATGCTATCTGCTTATCGCCAGAATTCCTAATCAGATGGTCCTGGCAGGAACCTGTCTAATTCCCTCCAGCCTCTGCCCAGGGGGGCAGCCCACCCACCCGTCCACCCCACCAGATGGGCAGCTGTGGGACCTCTTCTCCTCTCGGGGCCTGAGGTGACCAACTGTATTTCCTTCAGGATGGATGGGTGACAGGGATGGATGGATGGGCTGCTGGATCAACAGTGACAGGCGAGTGATGGGACTGGATTACAGCTATGAGGACTGGGTAGGTGAAAGGATGAGCAGATAGACTGAGGGATAAGATTATACAGTGATTAAAGGTGCAGGCTGCCAAGTCAGATGGTCTGGGTTCGAACCTCAGCTCTGCCACTTCACAGCTGTGTGTTCTTGGGGAAGTCACCTAACTTTGCTATGACTGAGTTTCCTGATTTCACCTGTGAGAGGGGGACAATAACTCCTCTCCAGGACTGGGGAGGGCTACCACCATCTCTGTTCCAGGTGGCCATGCCACCCTCCACACAGTGACTCAGCCCCAGTGTTCAACAGTGCCAAGGCTGAGAACTTCTTCCAAGCCCTAGACCACTGTCCTTCCATCTTCACTTCGGACAGTTTGACTACTCACAGGACCTGGGGCTGGCTCGTTTCTCAGTGACTCGAAGGCCAAGAGTGTGAGTGGTTCCAGCAATGGGGCCAGAGCAGGTTCCTTGAGACCACAGGGCACAGAGCGGGGCCCAGGGCCGGGTCTGAGCGTGGAGAGTATGCTGAGATGGGAGGCCTTCAAAAAGCTGGGAGCAGGAGGAAGGTCAATCGGGCATAGGTTTGAGGAGGACAGTGAGAGTGAGAGTGAGACCCAAGTAGCAAATATGGAAAAGCTGGGCAATACCAAGTGTTGATGGATCCGGGCTCCTTGTGTCCCTATCCTCTGCTGGTTAATATAAAACAAAACCACTAGGAGGGAAATTTTTTGAACTACAGATTCCCGTGTATGAATACCCTTGTCTCAGTAAACCTCTAGGCTTTTACCGCAGAGGAAATTTCACACGGGTATAGGGACCGCGGCACTCCTCACTGCCCTGTGTGTAGCCATAAACAAAACAGATGGCTTAAGCCCTTTTTAAGAACTGATTGATTTTATTTGTGTGTATGGGGTATTGTGCCTGCATGCATGTCTCTGCACCACATGCGTGCAGTGCTTGTGGAGGCCAGAAGAGAGCGCCAGATTCCTGAGGCCTGGAGTTAGAATGGTTGTGAGCTGGCATGCAGGTGCTGAAAATCAAACCCGAGTCTTCTACGAGAGCAGCCGGTGCTCTGAACCACCGCACCATCTCTCCAGCTCACTCACTTAATGTCTTAAGGAAAACGAGCAGCTACCCATCAGCTTTACACTGTGAACTATTTACTATACTGCAACAAAAATGAATGAACCGCAACTTAGTATACTAATGAGAATAAATATCTTAAATGTGATGGTAAGGGGGAAAGGGCCTTTTTAGTATATAGCTGCAGTTACCCCCAGCTCCAGGCTTACCTGATGTTTTGGTTAGAAAACAGTAAATGGAAAATTCCAAAAGTAAAGGAATCATAGGCTCTAAACTATGCACCATTTCTGAAAAGCTTGATATCACCACCCCTACTCCCATCCTACCCAGAGCACAAAGCATCCTTCATCCACTGTATCCACAGCGTATGTGCTAGCCACCTGCTGGTCTCAGCTGCCATCAGGGCCTTGCTAGTGCTCGGATATATGCATCCCATTTAATAATGGCTAGAGAGAGGATGGTAACGGTTTTATTATGTTATTGCTATGTTTCATTATTACTGATGT